CAGGATCAGAATGTTTTGGCAAATTGTGTTTAAATATATACAATACATTTCATTCGCAATGCTCTAGATTTCCAAAAAAGAAATTACAGCTAAAAATACAACAAACTGGACCAATAAAGGTTTGGCAGGTTCTGTCTATTGTTAACTTTATTGTAATCATTTAAAATGGTAAAGATATTTTCCTCTTAGGCGACAGGCAGCTTTAAAAGAAAAATTCAAGCTTTTGTAAAAACCTCCAAACACTGGGCATAGGAATGTTTAAAAGTCATGTTTCTACATTGCTGTAAAATGTACATTTCCCTGCTCTGTGACACTTAAAGGATATCTGATTACTGTTGAACCATCGTTTTTGTTTCTTAAGTTGAACCCAAGTGGCTGTGTGTCTCCTCACAGCTCTCAGCTCCGAGGGCCCGTCGCTCCCTACACTCCTGTGTTTTTGGACGGGTGGAAGCCGGAGGCCTCGAGGGCGGACGGGCAGGTTTGGGAAGATCCGGTCGAGTCACAGCACAAACATGACGCCCTCCGAGTCAAACCAGAGGTACGGAATGCCTGCTGCGAGTCACACGGCTCAGACACTCGCTCCATTGTGTGTGTCTAGAGGAAAGAGCACTGGGAATATGCGTGTGTAAAAGTACAACACGGGGGTTGAACGTAATAACAGACACAGAATACCACGTAAAGATCAAGTAAACACTGGAGCTGAACTCTCCTGTAGAGTGGCCTCAGTTCACCTCACAGTCAGTGGTACAATCTGTATTTAAATGTTTGTGATAAAATGGCCTTGTATTGCTCCATGAGATGATTGTCGAAGGCCGAGTTTCTGCTGATGAATGCGTTTGCAATTCAAGAATTTGATAATGAGCATATTTTGAGTCACCTAATTCTTGAATGCTTACTCACAGAAGAGGAAACCGTAAAAGCTGCGTGCATGACTCTTTTATTTTGTCAACCACTCCCCTCCCTGTGTGGGATGACCCCTCACCTGATTCACTCCACCCAAAAGTACCTGTGTTGTAAATTCATTCATAAATGTCCAACCTTTGTTACCCCTAGCAGCTGCCAAGTGGTCCTCCAGAAATCCATATCAGTGATGAAACGTAGGTCTTCTTCTTTAACAAGCATATCAATCAGCTGCTAAGACCCTCCCCACTCCTTGTCTACATGATAACAGGGTCTGTTTCCTCCTCTCAGAAACAGCAGTGAACTCCCCCCCGACCCGGACAGACTCTACAGCTGCACGTACGACTTCATCGCGAGGAACAGCACCGAGCTCTCCGTGCAGCAGGGGGAGACTCTCGAGGTAATGAAGTCAAGTACAGTGAGATATGTTCGTGGTGCATTCAGGGACCCAGCATGAGGTTACATGTGAGAGACGTGTATTGTACTTTTTACTTCACTACATTTGTCTGACAGATTAAGTTGCTAGTTAACTAAACCTTGAATCTACACATGTCGTTTTAAACATGTTTGATAAACTGAAAGATGAAAAGTGAATCTATGGGTTTAGAAAATGTTCCTAGTTCTTAAACTAATTGCTCTTGGGCTAGCTTTAGAAACTCATGAACAGCTGACCATTTATGGATATGTTTTTCACACAGGACAGATTCATACAAAGATATGATGGTCTTTTAGAACATGAAGCATTGCTGTCATTTAAACTACACAATAGTATCGGAAACAATCTACAGCAGTAAAATGCAAAGCTCATTAATGCAGCAATAATAATCCAAAAACATCATGTAGTAAAACTGACAAGGTGCATGTTTCTGTTGCTTGTGGTGGATTGTTTTCACAGTGTGGTATTAGTACTTACCTAATTAAAGGATGTAAATCCGTTTTACAGGTGATTGAATCGTCCAAGCGCTGGTGGAAGTGTCGTAATCGGTTCGACCAGATTGGATTCGTCCCCTTCAACATCCTGGACCCCTTGACTCACGTCGACAGCCCCGTCCACAACAGGCCTCCCAGTGTAAGACACACAAACACACACACACACACACACACACACACACACACACACACACACACACACCCACACACACACACACACACACACACACACACACACACACACACCCACACACACACACACACACACACACACACACACACACACACACACACACACACACACACACACACATAACCACAGAGGTATGCTCTCACCTGTACATACCTGACCTCTTTTCTCCTCATTCCTGCAGGCTCCAGTTCCCCTCGCCAAGACTTTCTCTGTGGTCCCTCCCAGCCCCCCTGCTCTCCCCCAGGCCCACTCCCTCGCCCACTCCCCCCAGCGCCCACGCAGCTTACCGCCTTACAACCAACACATACCAGCTTCAGAGGACCCAGAGAATAAAGGTAGGTGCAGAATATGTATGTGTTTGTGGAGGAGTTGGCAGCTTAAAGACTGTGAAAACCTAGTTTGAATACACCGAGCAGCTCGAGCTCAGTAAAGATCATTCTCCTAGTTATTCATCAAGATTTAATGCTTTGTAAATTCATAATATGTTGCTGCATTTGTAAGTTATCCAAATTATGCAAGGAATTCGGAATAAAGAGGGGAAAAGGTCAGATGTCAGACAAGGTTTACTTAATTAATAAATAATAATATTACTAATAAAATATGTTTTTAATAAAAGCATAAAGGCTGAATTGGATGGCAATTTTCGTACAAGAAAAATATATTTAAAATAGTACTTTTTCTTCACTGCTTTTAATGTATAATTCGTTTTTAAATGCTTTTTAAAAATGAATTTTAACCTATTTTTGTAAAGAGTCTTTGATCTTTTTATGATTACTATTATACATGTTATTATTATCACACCAGCAAGCTTATCATTATTGTGTATTTCAGTATGTAATGAAGTCCCTTCTCCTCTCTGCAGTCATGCTGATGAATGACGAGCTGCTGCAGAGGCTTGCCAATGGGAAGACCCACCTGAACAAACCCCTGGTGATCCCCCGCTCCTCGGAGACCTCGGCCCCGCTGGACTACCACTCCCCTCCGGACGAGGTGGCCGAGTGGCTGCGGGGGAAGGGCTTCAGCGAGCCGTGAGTCAGCATGTTTACACTGTGGGAGTTCTCCCTTTGAAATGGCATTTTACTATCCTAAAGTCAACATATTGACAGGGTAAACGGGAATAAACAAGAGGAGGGTTTTCCTTAGTACATTTACTCCAGAACTGTACTTAAGTACTATTTTGACATACTTTTACTTAAGTATTTACATGTATCATTGCTACTTTATACTTCTACGTTATTACAGAGGGAAGTACAACACTTTGTTAGTATATAAGTATTTATTTAATGCTACATACCTATACCTCAACTTCAGCACATTATAGAGGGTTAACAGTGTTTTTATCTCCACTACATTTGTTTTTGGTTTTATAGTTACTTTTTTTTAATGAAAACCAAAGATATTCTAATGTGATGTGCTGCAGTACTGTTGTACTAATAAACAATAGTATTGTAAGTAACTGACATTGGTTCCACATTGATAAACTACAAGATTAAAACGATCAATGTCATTCTGCTTAAAAAAATACGTTTGATATTAAGGACATTTATATGATAATACTTGATGTACCTTTACTTAAGTAACATTTTGAATTCTGGACTTTTTCTTGTATTTATAGCCTATATATCACTACTTTTACTTAAGTGAATCATCTGAGTACTTCTTCCTCAGCTAGTGTATGACTTTGGATCCTCTGTATTCTCCTCAGGGCGGTGTCGTGTCTCGGGGTGCTGACGGGCGCTCAGCTGTTCTCCCTGAACAAGGAGGAGCTGCGCGCGGTGATCCCAGAGGAGGGAGCTCGCGTGTACAGCCAGCTCACCGTGCAGAAAGCCCTGCTGGAGGTCAGTACAGCACAATTACATCCTGTTTCCATCAAAGTTAATTAATGACATAACTATTGAGAAAGCACAAAGCACATTTCACAATAAATCAGGTGGTCAATATTTGAGAAGGTGTAGGAAAACATGTATGAATACTGCCGATTGCTACAAACTATTTATCGCCTAAATTGCACTCGTAAATAACCGCAGGAAAAGACACATGTATTTGATTACATTATTTTAGGACAGTAACATAGTAAAATGCATCTAGCCTAAAAACGTGTGCCCATTATATGATATATTTAATTGAAAATGTAACCTGGTGACAGGGAAAACAATAAGGAAACATAAATATTACCAAATAAATAATTGACGCAGTATCAGAAACATGGAAACACTGTCATGTCAAGCAGCAAGTGAAGGAAGCATTGACTTCCTTCACTTGTCGATGCTTCTTTGAGTCGGTTTATTTTGTCTTCACTGTAATTTGTGAATTACTTTACAATTAGCATGTTAACTTATGCCTGTTATTCGTTTAGACTGTGCTGCTGGGGGCATTTTAACCTGAGTAAATATCATGCCTAAGTAAATATATCTTTGTATTTCCACACGTGTCGATACAAATATTGCGTCTTTAACCTTTGACCTACTCTGCGCCTGCCTCCTTCAGGATGCCAGGAGGGCCACAGAGCTGGAGGCGGTGATGGAGAAACAGAAGATGAAGGTGGATCTGAAACTGGAGAGCAGCACGTTCTGAGCAGCCTCCCATGAAGGATTGTTCTAAAAGTGTCGTCAATCAAGACAGAAGACATTAACAACAATATAGTATAGAATAAACATTGGACAGCTACTTGACTATCTAACATTGTCTGTGAAGCTGAAAAGGTCATTTTGACTCTTTCTTCATCCTAAAACCAAAGTATTTGGCAGCGAATCAGAAATGTAAGATTTAAATAGTAGCAGACGCTGTGCCAATTTAATATTTTAACATTAAAGGACACCGTTTGTAATGTATATTGTTACATTTTAATGTGTATAGCTTCTTTGTTTCGTTTCTAGTACTAACTTAAATGAAATGTATTTATCTTTGTTTGTATAATACTTTTAATACCATTCCTTGACTTTGGTAAAAAGAAAAAAGGCCAGCACACAAACACAAATGGCAATATTTGTTTTAATGGAGATTTTAAAGAAAGATTTCCAGCAGAACATAAACAGATATGACTTCACACAGAAGGTAAAGCAATGCATCCGTTAAAATCTGTTTGCAATTATAAATCTATTCAGAGGAACTTGTTGAAACTGGGCCAAAATGAAACGCTAATAAAAATGTATGTACAGATATAGCATCGACCTTCCAATTCATTTCTGGAGCTGCTGCTTCTCACGTCAACAACAACAACAACTGTGTGGGTTTTAAATACAAGACAATCAAGAGGGGGAGAAATGAGAAAACAAAGAGACATGCCACCAAAACAAATCCAAACAAGCATTTACTCTTCAAAACAAAAACTCCCCCTTCACTACCGGCAGCGTCAAATAAAACTTAGTGAAGTTTAAACATAAAAAGGGGACATGAGGAAACATAAGGATGGTACTTAAAACTCGCAACTTAAAAACCATTTGGGTCTGAATTCCCTAAAACGTTAACAGGGCTTAAACTAAGAAAACATTCATGAACTGCACTCAACAACAGTTTTCTGGGTGCTTGTGGAACTAAATCTTTAAAAAGGGAGATGAAAAATGAAGGCCTACAAAAGAATGAGAAATAAGATATTCAGATTGTATCAAACGGTAATAATAAAAGGATCAGTTACTCTAAGCTTCAGTCCGGCAGGCCGTGTGTTTATGTGTTCAATGCAGGGTATTTATCAGATACAGACAGCAACCAAATCACAGATGTAGGCATCACAATACACTCCACTACTGATCAATATCTAAATCCCCACCAATCCAAATGCTTGTGATCGATCTGGAAAACTGTTATACTTCTGGTACTGTGGAAAGAAAGAAAGGAGGAGAACAGAGGGATGGAGGCGGGACTGCGTGACATTAGGTTATTCTTTTTTAGAAATGGACGGACAGTGAGGGAGACAGGAGGACGCGGTGAGTCGTGATGGATGGAGTTTGGTCTTCAGAGGTCCCCCGTGTCCCGGTCCTCCCCCCGGCGGGAGTCCGACCGCCCGTTCTCCCCCTCCCTCTTCACCCCCTCCCTCTTCTCTCCCTCCCTCTTCTCCCCCTCCCTCTTCACCCCCTCCCTCTTCTCCCGCTCCCGTGACCGCTCTCTGGAGGAGCGCTCTCGGTCCCGGGACGACCTGAGGACGAGACAACGAGATATTCAGATAAGTACGAGCACAAAGAGATTATTTGGCTTTTTCAGTTATTATGCTCCAAATATCTGGAACAAACTCCCAGAAACCTGCAGGTCCGCTGCAACTCTGACTATCAATCAATCAATGTTTATTAATATAGCCCAATATCACAAATGTTACATTTGTCTCAGTGGACTTCACAGTTTGTACAGAATATCAGTATGACAATACGACACCCTCTGTCCTTAGACCAGGGGTGGGGAACCGCCGGCCCCCGGGACGTATACGGCCCGCGAGACCATTTGGTGTGGCCCTCGAGGTAATTTATAAACACACGCAAAAAAGAAAAAAATTTAAGAAATCTAGACCGCAAAAAAATTAAACAAGCGAGTGCCTGTTTTTCCTGTTTTTTCAGGGTCCTTGAACACAACACAAACCTAACTTGTCATCAAGTGGTATATGTCTCGTCTGACAGGGGTGCAGTTCTGACCGTCGGTCCGGCACTTCCAAAAATTGCAGTACCCATAAGGAGCCGTACACATGACGCAGTTTTTGCTTGGCTGTGTCTTTAGTTGAAAGCCCAGTGGCAATCTGCTCATCTGTCATACTGATCATACAGTCAATAACTTTGTTGTTATTAGCATCTGGTTAGCTAGCTATGCTAACGAATATAAGAAGCTTTTTCTCCAACCAGTGAGGTAAAGGCACATCTTTATATGATCATTATAGTTATAAAAAAATAATAGAATAAAGCAAACGGGTATAAAATACTACACGACAGTAAAAAAACAGTTGTTATTAATAAACAAGAATACAGTTTGAAAGGAGAGTAATTTGTAAAATATCCATAAAGAAAAAGTAAATCTGTTTACGGTTGTGTTTCATCTGGGTGTTGAGAGATGTATCCATAGATCTCCTAATGTTGCTCTCAAAGTGCACCAGATTGATGCTTTTAACTTCAACATTTAAACAAAAATCTTCCGGGGGAGCATGCCCCCGGACCCCCCTAGAGGAGGTTAGGTCCCCCCCCACTTAAATCATGTCCACATAGATAGGAAACTAAATACATTTGCCCACATCTTGTGTCCATATCTTTCTGTTTTGGTGGTCATGCCACAACCGTGCACGTGCATGCGCGAGTCATGGTAAGATATCTGCATTAAGATGTTGCTTTTTCTTTGCACAGCATGAAAGAAAGGCGAAATGAATGTGCTGTGATTTTATTATTTTTTTAAACAGAGGTTAATCATTTGTACGGCCCTCGGAGGATGTTGAAAAAAATTGAAATGGCCCATTGAGAGGAAAAAGGTTCCCCACCCCTGCCTTAGACCCTCACACCGTACAAGGAAAAACTTCCGGAGAAAACCCACAGGGGAACATGGGAGAAACCTCAGGGAGAGCAACAGAGGAGGGATCCCTCTCCCAGGACGGACAGACGTGCAATAGATGCCGTGTGTAAATTGAAAAGATAATACATTTGCAACATAGGTAGACCAAATGTTTGGAAATGCATGAAACTACTTTGAAATCCAGGCTGAAGACTTGTCCCTTTCCCACTATTCACATCTCACACTGTAACTTTTATTCATCCCTGTGTTATTCATGTTTTATTGTCTTTGCTTTTAAATGCCATTTTATAATATGTTTCTGCGGCACTATTTCTTAATGCCTTTCATTTTTGTAAAGCACTTTGAATTGCCTTGTGTTGAAAGGTGCTGTATAAATAAACTTGCCTTGCCTCATGACCATGTTTTCAATGTGTGTATTTACTTGTGTCTGGAGCTCTGCTCGTGGCTGTGGCGGTGTCCTCGGCTGCGGGAGGTGGAGCGGCTGCGGTGCCGCCTCCTCCTCTCTCTGGAGCGGGAGCGTGAGCGCCGCTTCTCTCGTGACGTGGAGCGTGAGCGCTTCTTTTTGCGGTCACGAGAACGGGATCTAATGAGAAAAAAAACAATTACAGCACACAGACAGACCAGACTAACGTTGGTAATAACTTAGGATTCGGCCCATTAAATCACATTTTTAGTGTGGATAAATGGAGCAACTTTCTTACCTTTTCGGCTCTCTGCTGCGTGATCTGGTCCTATGAAATAAGCAGATGAAAAACCATGAGCTTGAAAAGTAAAACATACATATTATACAACAAATGAACTTCCATAAACGTCACTAGGGTTTTAAAAGCACTCACGTCTTCTTCATCTTCTCCTCTTTCTCTCTCTCTTCTCGTCTCTTCAGGCGCTCCTGGTTCCTTGTCTCCTGCTTCTCGACCACGGTTTTCTGATCAAAATAAAAAAGTAGTAACATTAGAAGTGACACCAATTGTTTTAAACCTCAAGACAGTTTATGACCCATATTTCATTTTAAAAAAAGTTTCTTAATAACCAGCCCGATGATTCAGGACTCTTGTGCCCATGTGTTTCTAGTGCACACGGTATAACAGGCTGAAGCATACCTTTAGTTGGTCCAGTTTCTCTCTGATCTGGATGAAGCCCAGATGAAGCTTCCCACCAAAATGGTCGGCCAAACGACGATCGTTGTCATGGAGACCCAAGTAAGCGGAGCACACTTCGCACACCCGGAGCTTCTGCTGCTGGAAGCTGGAGGCTGGCATGGAGTTTCTGTACTCTTCCTGAGGAGAACAAAATGGAGAAGAAAATAATTAACTTAAAAAAGATGAGAAGGCGGGAGTTACTAATATAAAGATTATCAGCACATCTTCAGTGGCACGTCACCAGCACTCCCTCCTCACCTCTGCATCCTTCTTCTTAGTTCGGACCTTCTCCACTTCCTGCAGGACTTTCTGAGCCTCGTCCACGTTCCCCTCGGCTCCGAGCTGCTCGGCCTTGGCCAGTAGCTTCCCTATTTCCTCATTCAGCTCATGGACCTTCTCTGCCTGAAAACACAGCAAACCTCACAATTGACATCCTATTTGTCCATCCCAAAACAAACTGGTAAAGAAACCTAGGCGCAGCATTAAAAAGTGACTTAATCTTAAATAACGCCTTCAAATAGTCATTTTCCATATCAATTTAACTTAGATGTCAGAAAACAGTAAATACAAGTCCACGTCATGAAACTTCTTGATTGAGAGGTTGAACAGATTTTGCTGCCATTTGCCAAGTATTTTTTCAATCATTTCAGAATTCCTTTATTAGTCCCACAGAGGAGACATTTACATTGTTACAAGGGCTGAACGATTAATCGATTTTAAATCGAAATCGCGATTTTAAATGATGCTATTATCAAATCGCAAAGCCTGCGATATTTTTCTTCTTCTTGTGTGTCAGGCTCCACATGTACCAGCTATTGTGAACCAATCAGAAGTGATGTGCTCCACATGTACCAGCTATTGTTAACCAATCAGAAGTGGCCCATGATAGAAGGTGACAGATTGATCCAATCACCTGCCAATTATTTTTGGCAGGTGCCTGCATCATGATCATCTGAGTCAGGTTAGTAATGCTCCATCACATGTTTCTATTACAGAAACTGAATCTTAAACTGAAGCTTGACTTTAAAGCAGTGTTTCTCAAACTTTTTCATACCAAGGACCATTAACCAATGGTGGTCCGCAGACCAAACTTTGAGAAGCACTGCTTTAAAGCAACCCAACGGAATTTTCATGTAAGTTGAGTTCTTTCACTCGTAGCTCGGGCAGCTAGAGACGGGAGCACGTTGATACGACCTCCCTAGCCGGAGATATGGCCGCATTTTACAATAAACTTCCGTTGGGTCGCTTAAAAATAAATATCGCAAATCGAGCGCAATTCGATTATTTCCCCAAATCGGGCAGCCCTAATTGTTACATTTAATCGTTAACCGAAAAACTGAGTAGTTGTTCAGCTCTAAATATAATATATTTCTTTCTAATTCTTTGGTCACTCACCTTTGCTGCCACCTCAGCACTGATCTCCTCTTGGGTCTCAGCCAGGCGCTTCTTGGCTAGTTCTGTCCTCCGGTCACAGTCGGCAATGAACGACTCCAGGTGATCCACCGCCTTTAAGAGAGCGAAGATGTGTCATCAGAAAAGAGTCAAATACATGGGCGTAGGAAGCATCCTCAATGTGGATGGGCAGATGGTGGACCTCACCTCCTCTAGGGGGGTCCGGGGGCTTTTTAAAAAAAATGTAAATGCATCAATCTGGTGCACTCTGAGAGCAACATTAGGGACTAAATCTATGGATACATCTCTCAGCACCCATATGAAACAGAACTGTTAACAGATTTTTTTTTTCTTTATGCATATTTTACAAATCACTCCCCTTTTAAACTGTATTGTTGTGTTACTGTCCTATAGTATGAGTTGGAATTATTCTCAGTATAATGATCATATAAAAAGGTGTGCCTTGGAAATACTTGTTTACATAAATGATTACCAAACCGTTTGAGACCCACTACTTAGACTAAAGTGAACTATCTAAACACTCAGAGTCCTTTACCTCACTGAGCTGTAGTTATCAGCCTCTCAGTCTGACAGGAGAGGACTCTCCCTCCACCTCTCAGAGAGTCCTTTACCTCACTGAGCTGTAGTTATCAGCCTCTCAGTCTGACAGGAGAGGACTCTCCCTCCACCTCTCAGAGAGTCCTTTACCTCACTGAGCTGTAGTTATCAGCCTCTCAGTCTGACAGGAGAGGACTCTCCCTCCACCTCTCAGAGAGTCCTTTACCTCACTGAGCTGTAGTTATCAGCCTCTCAGTCTGACAGGAGAGGACTCTCCCTCCACCTCTCAGAGAGTCCTTTACCTCACTGAGCTGTAGTTATCAGCCTCTCAGTCTGACAGGAGAGGACTCTCCCTCCACCTCTCAGAGAGTCCTTTACCTCACTGAGCTGTAGTTATCAGCCTCTCAGTCTGACAGGAGAGGACTCTCCCTCCACCTCTCAGAGAGTCCTTTACCTCACTGAGCTGTAGTTATCAGCCTCTCAGTCTGACAGGAGAGGACTCTCCCTCCACCTCTCAGAGAGTCCTTTACCTCACTGAGCTGTAGTTATCAGCCTCTCAGTCTGACAGGAGAGGACTCTCCCTCCACCTCTCAGAGAGTCCTTTACCTCACTGAGCTGTAGTTATCAGCCTCTCAGTCTGACAGGAGAGGACTCTCCCTCCACCTCTCAGAGTCCTTTACCTCACTGAGCTGTAGTTATCAGCCTCTCAGTCTGACAGGAGAGGACTCTCCCTCCACCTCTCAGAGAGTCCTTTACCTCACTGAGCTGTAGTTATCAGCCTCTCAGTCTGACAGGAGAGGACTCTCCCTCCACCTCTCAGAGAGTCCTTTACCTCACTGAGCTGTAGTTATCAGCCTCTCAGTCTGACAGGAGAGGACTCTCCCTCCACCTCTCAGAGAGTCCTTTACCTCACTGAGCTGTAGTTATCAGCCTCTCAGTCTGACAGGAGAGGACTCTCCCTCCACCTCTCAGAGAGTCCTTTACCTCACTGAGCTGTAGTTATCAGCCTCTCAGTCTGACTGAGAGGACTCTCCCTCCACCTCTTTAATAACCGCACCTTATCCGGGTGCTAGTGGAGCACGCTCGTGAACTGTTAGCGCTGGAGCCTCGCAGCGGGGAAACTGTGGCGCGCATAATTTTGCAACTAAAGACACAGCTACACAAAAAACGCAGCAGGTGTACGGCTCTGAGAATCTGCCTTGGTACAAAGTAGCAGTGAAAACATGGTACGGAACTTCATTGATTTGGGCATTCCCACAATAAGCAAGTGGAATGGATTTGATAATGAAGCACTGACACAGCGCTCTACAAAGAGTGGCGAGTGGATAGACCGATTCACGGACTTTCTGCATAGTAAAAGTGTGGGGGGGGGGGTCTAAACTAATCATTTTAAAAAGGTGGGGGGGACTTGTCCCACCCTCATATAATGGCTGTGACGCCCATGGTAAAAAAACGTTACTAGTTAGATGTGTATACATAGGCACACAGGAAACTGTAGGTAAGGCTTCTCAATGGATATATTTACGGCATAAATTACTTACGTCTAGCTCAAAGAACATATCTCTATCCTTGGAAGCAATTTCATAATCTGCCCGAAGTGCCAGGTCATGGATCTTCGTGCACTCTCCCAGGTCCATACGCTGTCACCAAAACACAGGAACATATGACTTAAAATGATATCAAACAGTTTAAGATCGCATGTTGTAGGTACATGGTTAACTTTTTTTCTACATTTCACTGGTGTACTCTGCAAATATTTTGGGTGTGAGACAGAAGTGGGTTACTTACAGTTCCAGACAGGATGTCATGTGGACAGCAGTTCAGTAGATGACTTTTGCAGACTCGGTCGTCGCTGAACTTGACCATCTGCCGCGTCTCATCGCCTGTAACAGTCCAAAAAACACCCAGTCAGAAAGACCTCACATATTTGTCATCAGGGGCGAGGTATTCAGTGCCTTAATATACATAACTGTAACAACATTAAATGGGCAGATATGTGTCGTTATAACTGCATTCAAGGATTTTGTGTCCACCTAAATGAGTGAAAACAAATTAATTTATGTTGTTAAAAGTTTGACATATATTTCAATATACAATATATAGTAATATAGACTGTGCTACTACAGTTATTTTCCATTGATGTTTCATGACTGAAGAAGGTAATGTGGCTCTGCGTGTGGATGTCCTTTATATTCTTGGTGCTTATCTTAGCCAAAGCTCATTTTAAAATATAGACATTTTTGAACCTCAACTAAGTTTAACTTGTGATGAGGCTCACTGTTCACCCTGTTAATGTGGAGCATTATGAGATAAAGCACAGGTCAATAATAACTATAAGCTTGTGTCAAATAATTGTGTGAACAGAGATGACTTTAGCTTTGTTTCAGTGCAGGAAAGACTGCTATCATAAATGTAATAAGCAATGTAAACATTTCAGACAGATTTTCCAGGGAAGCCGTTAACATGTATGAAACATTGAAAATAAAGTCAAAAGAAAAACATAAAACAAAAGAACTCCAAGGAAAAAAATTAGTTTATACACACTGCGATCCGCACCACATACTGTACCCTTCTGCATCTTCAAGACCTCAGCTGCAGAATTTTAAACCCGCTGTAGAAAAGTATAAATGGGAACAGTTTTCTTGCCCATACCTGTAGTAAGAAGTTGGGAGTGATACACAAGTCAAATTGTAAATGATGTGTGCAAAGTTGTGGTTGTTTTTTTTCTGGATGTTTGTTCTAATTGCCTTCTGAAAACAGACGAACTGCTCTTTGGATTCTGCGCGACCAGACGTCTTAGCACAAGCTGCCTTACACTACGCCAAATTGAGAATCTAGTGCCACTGAAGATATACCCATTTGTGTGTTTAAAAAAAGTCTACAGTAACTTCCGGAAGGCAAACAAATGGTTGGGATATTCATCATAACAGCGTTAAAAATTATGTGTGACTCACGGCTCGATGAACATGAGGCTTTTCTGCAACTCCTTTGCAGATTGTTGTAGGCTGGCAAAGATACACTGAACCTTAATGAATAAAATAAAGGGGCCACAATTGTTCAGTTTGTATGCAACAAATGTATGGGAAGAATTTGATATAAATCTTATGACACATACATCCACAAGCTCACAACACAAATTCACTCTTATTGAGATTGAATTATCATTAATTAAAAATGATAATCCACAAGGCTGTATTTCTGTTCAATCAGGATGAACCTCCGATTTATAAAATGACAGCTGTCATTCCTGCCCATCAACAGCTGAGTTACACTTTAATGTTTGTATCCAAAAGGGCTGAAAACAATACAATTGTATTTTAGCAAGTCAAAGCTTTTTACTCAGTATATTTATTGTTGGATTGATTTAGCTGATTACTGATAACATGTTACCATCCAAACAGATCGTCAGCTTGAAATGTAAGTTTGGATTTACAGTTATAAAAATGCATTATCTAACAGTATACAAAAGTTACACACATTACAATTCTGCTTCCACTTTAGACCATTGGTTATAATGATTAATTATATAGTCATTGTGTAAACTGGCAGGGACTACTGCATAATATATAGCTTGTTGTTAATCCTATTCGGGGATAATTACTTGAGTCAAAATAGGAATACACGACATTTGAGTGAAGTTGAATTATGTACTTCTTTCTGCCTTCTAATATCTGACATGAGCAATCACCAGCATTTCACACGGGTAAGATAAGAGGGTCAAATAGGAAAAACTGGAAAAACTGGTTGGTCCAATGTTAAGTTTAGCCTGCATGTCCTTCACATGTGACTCAATTATATGTATTGTGAATGTAATGCAGAGTCGTTAATGTGACCCACATAATTGGACTAAAACCAGAGCATGTATACATTTCAGTATATCGCTCAATGCTAGGTCCCATAGTGTTAGCTAGCCAGGCTACTAGCTAGGAATGTAGTACACTCGGTAAAGACGAAACAAAAAACAATCTTAACATTTAAATTAACCCAAATGGATACAAACATTAAATCCTTAAGTGTATCAGTAGACTTGAATCTACTGTATTTTACACAGCCCTCTGCAGTATTAGCTTGATCCATTCATGCAGGTCTGTCCATCACACACCAACACAAGAAGCCGCAGCAGTGGCTCCATCTTGGCTAGCTCTCTCAGCTAGCATTACAGCTACATCAACTCACCATCCCTCGCTGTTCCCATCAGCTGGTCGAGCAAAGCTCTCATTTGAGCTTGGGCAGACATTGTTGTGGGCCTTCCGTCGATGAAGAAAGCACCAGAAACAGTTCCTAAGTATTTTTTGTGAAGTTAATTGATTCTTTTTTTTCGTCCAAGCATCGCCTCTCGCCGCTTTTCTCTCTTTCGTGAACCCGCCCGTTTCCGTTTTATTTGACGGAAATGACGAAAGGCCTTGTTCGTTTAGCCTACGTTAAAGGGCGGGATTAAGGTATGAAACCGACCAATCGTATGGCTTAAGAACAAGAGAATGAACCAATCAGAGCTACTTGAACCCAACGCTGGATGCCATTGTATTATTTGCCCCGAACTTAACCTTTCAGGCAGCACATACGTAGAGCCTGTCGTTCCCTGGTGTTTCCCCTAACTTCAGGTTATATTAAAGTTTAGACAAGAGAAAATCAATTATCCCTAGTTTCATAGTTTGGGCATCTTCTATGCAGTCAATGTCAACGTGTAACGTTAGCAGAGAGCACCTGTTAGACAAACTCAGGGCAACCAAACCTTCCTTACTAGCTAGTGTGTATGTTTACGGAGCTAAAGTTGACAGGCAGTTGTTGTCAGGCCTACTACCTGTAGTTAGCCGCTCCAGTGACCACTAAAGACGACAGTGGGGAACAAAGTAAGAAAAACCTTTTTTGACGCTTATCTATTATTTATCAAAGCTCAAGTGGCGGGACTATTGTAATACAATCACGTTTACCTGTATTCATTCTTCTGTGGGCAGTGGCCTTTTTGCTCAACAAGTTAGCAAACTATCGTTAACCAGAGATTCACTTTCCTAACCCAAGCTAGCTAAAACATATCTCAATCAGACATTGAAATATACGGGGAAAACGTTCTTTTGTTGCGGCTATTTAGCTAACATCGCACGGTTATTTCAGATTTAAAATAATTATGCCAGTTAATAAGCTTCCTAACTCACGTACACAATGTTAATGGTAACACGCCCTGTGTGCTAGCAAATGTGATGATTATCATTGTCATCACGGGTCTGTTTTTGTGCTGAGAAATCTCAGGAGTCAGAGCTGGTTGATTGTTTGATTGATTGATTGAAAAGTGTATTAACAGCTTGTATATTGGGTACAGTACAGTACAGCTCAAAACATACAATTGTTAAGGGGATGCAGACCAGAGAAAGACTTTCGTCTTGTTTACATCAGGGTCCCCCATTTCCAATTCATCATATCATTTAAGACATATAAGACATATAAGACATATAAGACATATAAGACATATTTGACATACAGATGGCTTATTTACAATTTATATACAGGTGGTTTTTTTTATACAGATGGCTTATTTACAATTTTCATTTTAGATTTCGTTCTAATACATCCTAACCGGACATTTAAGACATACCAAGTCTACAGATATACAGTTAGTAACAGAGTCTAAAATGCGAGTATATACATAGATAGATGATGGGGGGGGGGGGGGGGGGGGGGGGGAAGCTGTCCATTGAACGACAGGTTGAGATTTGTACCCTTACCGGGGCCAGTTTTGCAATGCTCTCCCCCGAAGGTGCTCTTTAAGAGAGGTTTTGAAGGTAAGTATAGTTTGACTTTCCTTTACAGTTGTGGGAAGAGCGTTCCACCTTGATGTGGCATAATTGCGAAACGTGTATTCCCCCTTTTTGTGCCAAATCTGGGTTTCACATGATTTGTGGAGCTCCCTCTGGTGTTATGATCATGGTATTCCTTGACCTTTGGGAAGAATGTTGACATGTACATGGGCACGTATGAATGGGCTGAGATCTACAAAGGTTGGTGCAGCAGAAATAGCCTGACAGACAGACACTGCTGCCTTTAGTATTTATGTTTCATTTACTATTATGTGAATACCAGATAGTTTTGTCTGCCATTATTGCCGGTTACTTTGACACTTGCAAATGTGTAGTTTACTCCCCACTGTAATAGATCAGGACGCACCAAACTCTTTGCTATGTAAGGACTGTGCAGTAAATAGATAGGGTCTTTTCATTTAAAGGGGCCCTATTATGCTTGTGTTTTTTTCCCGCCCTTTCCTGTAGTGTGTTTATATAGTTTGTTGTGCATTTAAATGGTCTGCAAAGGCTCAAATCCCAAAGCTCTCTCCCACACACCTCCATTGGACTCCTTTGTTTACTTCTTTAACCTAGTGACATCACTACGTAACACTCGCACTTCTATTGGCTAAGACTCCAACAAATACATGATTGGATAAGGAGTGGGACATCTCTAAGCAGTTGACCAATCACAACAGAGCCGGCCCGTTATCCAATCAGAGCAGACTGGGCTCTGAAGTGTGAAAAGAGGTGCTGCAGTACAGACAGTATGAGACAAATAAAGACCTTTTTGAGCATGTAAACATGTCACAGTAGAGACACATCACACACATCTGAACACTCTTTAAGTGTGCATTCAAGACTAGCATAACATTGAGGTCAGGATCTTAATGTAAGCTCTCTTCCCTGTTTAGTAGAATTGTGGGCTGGTAAATGCATTGAGGCTACAATGGAGACGACAAGCAGCGCCACTGAAGGCGACCCTCTGAAGGACGGAGCAGAGACAGGAACAGCACCATCAGGAGCAGAGCTGAAGAAGAAGAGTTATAAGGAAGTCATCGGGCTGACCAAACTCACCCATTGGAGAACCGGATTCTTCTTCTTCTCCTTGTTCCTCTGCCTCACCATAGTGTTCGCCTTCTCCTTCATCCTCCCCTGTCCTGTCAGACCACAGTACCTCGTTACTTGGAACAGGACCTTCACTGAAGCAGGTGTGTGCATTTGTTTGCTTCTCACTGCCTGGTAGTGTTTTATTATTCACGGGACTTACTACTATTCTCTCCTTCTCTCACAGAAACATATGACTTCTTAGCCATAGAAGATGCAAGCAAAGACAAGGTGATGGATGTCTTGTTTGTCCTGAAAGACACCGAACCCAGTCTGAACAACACGTGTGCTAATGCAGGTATAAAGAATAAGTTCATCAAACGCGAGGACACAAGAGTTTGCTGTGTATTGCTTTTGTTTTGTGTGATTCAGACACACTTTTCTGTGTTCCAGGTCTGCCCTCTCCATGTGTGTTTGTGATGGCAGTGGACGGGACGGATGGAGAGACACTGTGGGGCCGTCCGCTGGCTCCAGAGTTTCACTGGGCCCAGTGCGGTCTGGACGATGAAACCGGCAGAACCTGGGACTGTCTGCTGTCCCACTCCGACCAACTCACAGCTGTTGACAAATTCACTGGTTAGTGACTCATTGCTTTCTGTTTTATGTATAACATCCATAACATCACATTTTCTTAAAGCATTTTGCCATACAGCTTTTGTAAATGGCTGTTGTCCATGTATTGCGTTCAGCTCATTTCCCCGTTAGAATTTGTCGCGACATTAAAAGTAATGATTCAAAGCATTGAAAACTATAAAATAAAGAGGTTTTATCATTTAGAAATGTGGCTAAATATTCTAAGCATAGTCCATCTGATGATCCCAGAGATGCATTTGAAACATTTGACAACATAACCTCTTACCACCTTTCTCCACAGCTATATCCAAGGTCAAACATGAACTTTAACGCTCAAGGAAAGCTGTACATTTAGTTATAAAGTCAAATGGATTCAGTCAGCCTGAGTGCTCTGTTCCTGTGTGATGTGTGTGTGCAGGGGAGGTCAGGTGGCAGCAGCCTCAGCCTCCTGGTCTGCGCATCACCGTGCCCGTTCTGAGCGTCCCGGATCTGGACGGGGACAAGGTCAGCGATGTGGCTCTGGTAGCATCTGACGACACTCAGGTAAACATCAGTGGTATAACTTATGAATTAGCATCTATCCTGACACAGGGTACTTATGATGTGTTTGGATCCCTAAAGGTTCTGGGCTACTATTCCATCATTCAAGGGTGGTTTTCACTTTAAATAATGTGTTTTTTTACGGGGGGGATTAGAATTTACATTTATTTATTTTTTACTATGTTACATGTAAATTTACTGACACAGCAACATCTATATTGATTCTGACACTTCTACTGCCAACTCACAGGTGTATCATTGCTTTGATAACAAGATTATTTATATACATTACATTTCTGGGCATGTCATTTTCGAGCCTGAGGCCTGAAAAATAGGCCCTGTGCTCAAGAGGTTAAGGCTTTCTTACGGTGCAGGATCGAGTCATTTTTTCAAGTTATTTTTTTGAATGTACCTGCTTTTAATGTCTGTTGTCATGTCTGCAGACTCAGCTGGTGTTCTTCTCAGGGAAGACGGGAGAACAGGTTGGTTCCTCTGTGGTTCTTGACTCCACAAAGACAGCCAATCATCTGCTCCACCGCACGGCAGCAGGGTCTTACTATGTACTACTGCAAAAAGGTTTGTATCTCAAATCAGGTATAACATGTCAAACATGGAGTAGTGTCCATCTGCAGTTAGACCAGCTGATTTTAATAAGATGTATTTTATTAATCCCAATTTGGGAACATTTTTGGTTGCAGCAGCATTAAAACAAAACAAGGCATTGCACATAATAACAAATTCAAAGAGTAGAAAAAAACTATTCTAAAATAGAAACATCTGAAAATAGAAATAAACCAGCAATAGAGTAACAAAAATATACAGATGACTGGGAAGATAACAAATCTATATACTGTCTGACAAAGAAAACACTATTGAAGGGCCAATATTCTGTCAACACAATATAAGCAGGATAATAATTATACAAATTACATTACCTACAAGAAAAAAGCAAACTTACCTCCATTAAAGCAGTTAGATGTATACTCTTAGATGCATTACAGTAGTGAGTAATCCTGAGCTCATTCACAGACACTGGCTTGTATGGCCTGGCCCTGTGGAGGATTGCAGCTAAAGCTAAAGCCGGGATGGAGCAGGGTCTCAAGAAGGACAAAGACTGGGAGAAGACTGCCAACGCAATGTCTGGCCTCGTGCCCATGTTTGAGTAAGAATCTGAATATACTCACTTTTTAATTAAAATCTTGCATTGTTGTGGCTTTAGCTGATGTTTATCTCTCCTCCGTAGATCTGATTCACTGCGACAGGTGCTGAGAACGGGAGAGACAGGAGACCCACCCAACCTGCTGCTGGTGACTGGGAACGAGGTGGCTCTAGTGGACGGAAAACATCCAAAGACACTGTGGAGATTCAACACCAGCTCAGTCCT